TTATTGTTATTTTGTTGATGTGTGGACATCCCAGAGGATATATGACTTTGTTGAACTACCGTTCCGCTTCCACTTGTTACGTTGTTATGTTGCGAAGTTGTTTGCACAGATGATACTTCTTTACAATTGGTTTGTGTGCCTAAACACACACACAGAATATTATTATTATATATAATAATTAAATCAAAATTCTACAAGTTTACAAAATTTTTTTATTCACGATTTAATTATCTTATCCATTTCTTTTTATTTTCAATAATATTTATACTTCAAGAATACATTTCTGACTTTTGTAAACTATTTAGAAAGACTCACTATTTGTCTGTCCCGGCTGTAACGAAGGCCATGCTTCTTTAGTTTGTGAATTTACAGTCCCGCTTTCCCTAACAATACTGCCTGTTACAGGTGGTGATGGTGTCGGTTTCCTACATATATATACATATATATATATAAAGATTACTAAAAAAGATTACTAATAAATAAAATTAAAATTAAAAAAAAAAATAAATAAATAAATAAATAAAGATTACTAAAAAAATTAAATTAGATTTTCATGTACATAAAACATATACACAATTCCAAGAAATCACATTATTTGGTTGTGCCAAAATAAACTTTGTACCGTTGCACCGAAGATACATGTGCATGTAACGATTGCACAAGCTTGCGTTCGTATTCTTGATGTTTTCCCTGATGCATCTCTTCCTTTGTAAATGATGCCTCCTGGTCCCCAAGATCGTGCAGGTACATGCATTCTGGCTTCGGACAGGCTTGGTTACGCATAAAATGCGAACAATACTTTGTCGTTCCCAATGATGTTTTTATTGTCCGTCCATCCACAACAATGTTATTCACAGCCTCTATAGCACGTAGCGCATCCTCTTGACGCTAAATAATGTACAAAAATTATCATGTACATAAATTGTAAAATTATGTCAACAAGTATCCATAAAAGTAGAGATAAAAATCGGAATTTAAATACTACTAGAGAAGAAGATAAAACAAGAGGGGAGGAAGGGAGAGAGAAAGAAAGAGAAAGAGAGATATTAAATAACTCACTTGATAAGTAACATAAGCCGAAGCACTGGGGCCTTGAGACCCTGCATAGGAAGTGCTCTGATTAATTACAACTTTGTGTATCTTCCCAAATTTTCCAAAATATTCGTGTTTCTTTAAAACCTAAAGCATGCAAGATATCATAATCTCTTTATTTTCTCTTGAAAGACGATATTTCCAGAGATCTACGCCAATATCGTAGAGAGTTAAGTCACGAAAAATATACTCACATCTGCATCTGCTAATCGCATTGGTAATCCTACTACAAAAACTAAATTTTTTTGTACTACTCTCACATTTGCTAGATGTTTCCGATTTTCTGTGACTTTCTGCTTCCGTTGTTGATCTTTTAATCTCTTCTCAGCTTTCAACCTAAAAAAAAAAAGAGTAAGAGAGATAGATTTAGAGCAAATTCATTATATTTTTTCAATTAAAATATAATATGTCGAACAAAACGTTAAATAATATATAAATAATTAAATTATTTCTAAATACCTTGCTATTTCTTCCTTAGTAAGGGGTTTAAAATCAGCCGGATTTTCAGAATAGGCCTTCCGACACGCGGGACACAAACCGTTCTCGTCGGTACGAATTCTGTGCCAACAAAAACGACATATTTGATACCCACAGGTGCAGGGGAAGAAATTCAGATCGTCCACCTCCAAAGGTTCCATACACAGAGGACATTCTATCGCGTCCTCTCCGCTTTGATTCAATACTGACATCCTTGTTGCCAATCTTGTAAATGTCGCAAGATAGCAGACACAAATCACGAATATTTAGCTAAGCGCCAAAGTCTGTAAATGAAAAATAGTAATCTTAAGGTCGAAAAGAGAGATATAAACAAATATATCGATATTTAATTATATTACTGAATTCGAAGGCTACAATTTTTTTCCATCGATTGTTCAAAACACACGCATACATGTACAATTGTAAGTTTCGAAAATTGTTCATATCACGAATCTAGATATGTCGCGCAAATTCTACTTACAACGAAAAGTTGCCACTTCCCTGGTTTTAAGTAATTGACAGTGCTCGCGACTTCCTTTTACACACCGCTACCTCTTTCCAATCTGAAACAGAGCATCGCACCAGCGAGTTGTCAACTATCGAATTGTATTTAGGCCACGCGTATCGGAGAGAAAATCGCGGCGGATGGCTGGTTTTTATTCAGTCGCAAAATATTCGGCGAGTGACATTTCGATCCTCGCGAGAACGACGAATCGCGCGACAACCTAACACTCTACCCGAACTGTTGCTGATCGGTCGTGGGGGGCGACGTAGCGTAAACGTGGACGAGTACGGTACTTTTTTTCTCGCGACGCAAAAGATAGACGAACGAGCGAAACGTTTAAGAGTCATTTTTAAAATAAAACCCGACGTCTCGTTTTCTCGTACTCGCTGCCAATCGCACTTTTCCCGTTTGATTCGAAACAGGTATACGCTCGAGAGCGAGAGAAATAAAACGTGAAAAGCGCGCACGCGAGACGATGATAAGAGGGCGACGACAGGTCACGACCACGAGTTCCGTTTTGACAGGAGCTGTCAGATTGGAAAGAGAGAAAAAGAGAAGGAAGGACGGAGAAAAAGAGAGGCAACATCGCGAGAGATGCACCGAACAAAGGAGACATACTCCGGAATTCTCGCACAATTATCCACGAGCTGTGAATCTCGCGCGACGCCCTACGCGCACGATAACGATGACACGTCCACGTCCTCGTCCTCGTCCTCGTCCGAGACGGCGACAATTTCTTCTCCGTTCCGTACGTTCCGCGACGTTGAGGTCGTCGACGATAATCGGGGGGGGGGGAGGGGGGAAAAGAGATTTCCGTGCACGCACACAGTATTTTACACAGGGAAAGGATCACCGTTTCTCTCTCCTTTTCTCGCGTGTCTCCCCGTCTCCCTCTTCTCCTTTCCTCTCTCCGTCTCGTATACGACGAAACGCGAACCGAGAGGGCGATGATCGGACGAAACAGCTGTTGGTGGCGTCCGCGAGAGACCTAGCGAGAAACGTCAAACGGGTGCGAGTGAGACAGTTCGCTGGCTACGCCATAATAGAGACCTACGCGAGAATCTGTCGCGGATGACCGGCGTGGTGGGGCATGACACGTAAATTCCGCCTCTCGGTACCTTCCCTCGGTCGCGAGCGTATACGCGAGTACGCAAGGACGACGGTCTTTCGCGACGCGAATCTCAAGGGGAAGAGGAAAGAGGGATACGCGGTGGAAGGGCAAGGGACGGGGCGAGGTAGAGAGGAAAGAGAGCGAGCGGCTGAGAGGGACAGACGGAAGGAGGACGACAGGGAGGGAGGGAGGATGGCGTGGTAGGGAGGATTGTGCGCGAACGGTGTCGACGCGCAAGAACGACGGAGATGGATTCGCTATCGCGTATCACTACCGCCACCGCCACCGCCACCGCCAATCGCACCGTCTCTCTTTCTATATTACATGTGAGAAGGAGAGATTGTCCGTTTCGATCCTCGTTGTCGATTTCTCTCCCCCGTACGCATCTATCTTCGTGTCCCTCTCGACACTTTCCGAGGGATGATCGTCCAAACTCGATATATACGCGACGACGCGGCGCGGACGGGACCGATTCAGTTTTCCATTTATGTAAACTCACACTAAGCACACTTTTAGCGCGAACGACGACGACGATGACGACGATGATGATAATGATGATGATTATGGTGATGGTGGTGGTGGTGATGATGACGACAACGACGACGAGGAATAGAACGACGGCTGTTAGCTGCCGCGAACGTCACTCGAGATTTTACGATCCATCCGCCAGAGGGGTTGTTCGAAACTTTGGCATATTACCCTGTGCTGACGTTAACCTTAATCGCGAGACAGCTCCCAACGAAATATTCGTCGCTCTCACGATTCCTCGAATCTCGTGAAGAAATTCTCGTCGACAAAATTTTCACCGAGCTCGCACGCGCATCGCTTCCAAACAGTACTAAATATATATACACACACATATATATATATATATATGTATAAATGTATATACATACACTCACACGCGCGCGCGCACCATACATACATATGTATGTTTATATATTTATTATTACATATATGTATAATGTGTACATGTGTGTATATATATAATATTTATACATATATATATATATATATATTTATATATATATACTTATATATATATATATATATATATATATATTTATATACCGCGTGAGTCCTTCTCCATTTACTTACTCACCTCGACTTTTCCACTAACAATTCTCTCTTTACTGGGAAATTTTTTTAGTATTCTACTGTCCCGGGATTTATGTGATTGGGTATGCGCACGAGCGGACGTACGCATCGCTATTCCGTGGTCTGTCACTAGACGTCGCGGAGTGTCACTAAAATAAGTCACTAAATAAAAAGACGATAAGTAATGATGAGTAATAAATGATAAGGCAAATAAATTTGCTGGTATTACATTTTATATAGCTGAAGATTAACATTGTTATCTTGCGCGAGACAAATTCATATATATATTTTTTTTTACCTTTGTTAGATGCGAAACACGAGGGTCTTTGTTTACATTTGCCCGATATCCGGAAACTTTGTAACGCGAGTCTGCGCAGTACTCAAGTATTCGTAACCTTTCTTTTTATGGTTGAAAAAATACCTAAACGTATCCTGAAAATTTACATTTCGATTTTAAAGTAACTCGTATAACAGTGAAGAAATAAATTAATGTTTCTGAGAAATTTCCAAATTATTAAGATTCATCGCAGCAATACGTACGGGCTGCAAAGAGCGTTATATTTCTTTGTTCATAAATTGTTAAAAATTTATATGATAAATCTCTTAGAGATATTTAGGTGATTGAAAGAAAGAAAAATTAAACTCTGAGAAATTATTTAACCTAATCTTACTTAAACGGTTCAATATATATAAAAACTATTGCATATATTCCTTATATATAGAATACTTAATATAATTGTTTTATTCTAATACACTGAATAGTTTATCGTATGATTTGTGTTTGTCAGACAAATGTGTTCATAAAGATACAAGTGTAGATACAAAGTACAAATATTCTTGTATCAAATACCTCATTTTTTTACACAATTATGTCTAAAATGAGATTTGATACAAGAATTTTTGTATATAACATTCTTTCGTGTTTTATTATATTGCTAGTTTATTTTGGATAAGCTATGTTTTCTCGATTTCTTTTTACGTTCGCGAATAACACCAAACAATGGATGTCTTGTTTTTAAATTAGGAAACTGCACACCAAAGTTTTCTACAGATACCGGCTTTATGTCTGGTGCTCCGGATAACTTCTTCCTTATAGATAATACACCAGCTGGCTTGATATTTACTATATAGGAAATATTAAAAAATTAATACATAAATAAAATATAAAGAAAAAACATGCAATATTTTCTTCTTTTTGATTTCCTATTAAATGAAGTAAATTACCAGTCTTATACATGTGTGAAGTCTTCTCGCTATTAAAAACACATGTAACATTGTAGCTTGTGTTTTGCGCAACCATACAATATCGTTCGTCTTTAATTTTAAATTTTGATTTATCTTCTAAGGATATCATTTGACCACACAGTTCTTGCGGATCTATCTATATAAAAACAAGATTGTATTCTTGATATCTTAAAGCAAGAAAAATTATATATTTTATTACTATAACTTACTGATCTGGGAAGATCCATGATCCAAATGTCTTCGTTATCGGATATATCTTCCAGACTAAATGTACAGCATATATTTTCTTCTTCCAGCATTTCTTTCTCAGTTATTTCTTGAAGCTAAAAGATGTACAGAAAGATATAAGTCCTATATAATTTGTTGAATGTAATTAAGAATATAATTAATGATCTTTTGTTAGAGAATGTAAAGTGACAAAAGGATGGTTTGACAAATTAGGTATTACAGAGGAGAGTAGGATACGGAAAATAATGAATGAAGTTTTAGATGATGTTAGTTAAAAGGGATATATTGTAAAAATTCTGGAAAGAAAAGTCAAAGAAAATGGAAGGGAAAAAGAAAATAAAAGTGAACTAGGTATATTTTGAAGAAGGAAATGTTGAAAGTTAAAGTTTTTGTTTTTGTTGAAAAAGACTGAATATAGGCTGTGATTAGAGATAGGATAATTAGACTGTAGGATAGATGTATAAATGTACGAAATGGAGAGTGAAAGAGGAAACAATGTATGTATGTGTGAATGAGACTAAAAAAACCAAGTCCCGCTTCTTGACTGTAAAGTTGAAGTGAATAAAGTTTATATATACTGTGTAATATAATTAATGATCGTCTTACGGTACGTGGTCTTGGTGAAACTGAGATAGATGACGATAATCTTTGAGATGTTACATTGTTTAATTCTTCAGTACTACCATTTATTCCAGCAACTCCATTGTTCGTTGAATCTTCGTCGAACGATTTGTCAGACTTTTTCAAGATACTCTTACGTGATTTAACAGCAGGACTATTAGTTGCACTAAGTGGTTGCGTTTCTGTATTGATTGTAATAGATTTACGTTTATGGTTTTGAGACGGAATATCTACAGCGTCTTCCATCAACACCATAGATTTATTCAATTGCGTATTTAATTTCGTTACCGAATCATTAATAGAATCCATTGTATTTGTATGTATATAAATTTTTTTTCAAAACGACTGCATGCCCATGCATGCCGTGCAACAGCTGATAGACTAAAGCCCCCTTGCACAATGCTAGGCAACAGGCAACAGAAACAGAAAATATTCGCCAATAGGAGCAGAGAATAAATACTATTTCTGTTCTTATTGCCTGTTGCCAAGTATTGTGCAAAGGGGCTTAAAGCCCTTTGCACAATGCTAGGCAACAGACAATAGAAATAAGGAATAGAAATTATTCATCAATAAATACGCGGAACAGAAAATATTCGCCAATAGGAGAAGAGAATAGATACTATTTCTATTCTTATTGCCTGTCCCTCAATCATTGTGCAAGGGCCTTAAGGTTGATTACAATTGCGAAAATAATGACGTTTTAGAATGGTCGGGTTTGACCCGATCCGGGGTAGTTTACTAGAGCTCATTGACCAATCACAACCATTCTTTTGAAGAATACAACCATATATTCTTCAGAAGAATGGTTATGATTTATTAAGGTGCAATTTCATTGACGCTAAAAAGTAGCGTCAACCATTGGTTGAACAAAGAAGTTAGTAGTTGCTTCATTGTTCAACCAATGGTTGACGCTACTTTTTAGCGTCAATGAAATTGCACCTTTAAGATGCGGCCTCATTGACGCTAAAAAGTAGCGTCAACCATTGGTTGAACAATGAAGCAACTATACTTACCTCCTTGTTCAACCAATGGTTGACGCTACTTTTTAGCGTCAATGAGGCCGCACCTTTAATGACGTCTCGTAAATTACCCCAGGTCGTGTCATATTCGAAAACGCCATAACATGAGTTACTTTTGATTAGAGCGACATCACATTTGTCATGCACATTGATTGGCTACTGCAAAAAACTCTAGAAATTCTCTATTCGATAGCCAATCGGTACGTTCGATAAAGTTTTTAGTTATACATAGGCTGTGTTTCAAAATTCACTGCCAGTACTGAAAATTTGTAGTGTACGTCATGTAAACTATTGAATTTTGGAACGCAGCCATATAAAGGTGCAATTTCATTGACGCTAAAAAGTATCGTCAACCATTGGTTGAACAAAGAAGTAAGTAGTTGCTTCTTTGTTCAACCAATGGTTGACGATACTTTTTAGCGTCAATGAAATTGCACCTTGAGTTCATATTTTTATGTTTATAGAGGACGCATCGTCCTTTCAGGGATAACCTAAAGCCGGATACTTTGTTAATCTAGTGACTTTAAGATCGCCTAAAAGCAAACTATACCAAAAAAGAGTGAAAACTATGAACAACTTTATTGTTTGTTTTATAGATTTTAAAAATGGCTTGTCGTATGCTACATATTTAGAGTTGTAAATAATTTGATAAAAAATGTTCAATCTATAAACAACGGTAACGCAAATGAAATATATCATTGTCTCTAAATCATTATATGTAATTAACATATAATGTGTATTTAAAATTAATTTATCAATTTAACTCCAATAAAATTATGAAATTTTTTTCAGGTATATTATTGTTTAATATTGTTTAATTTATTGCTTGTCAGTCATTCACATTTATTAAATATAGTCACTTTATTAAATAATGTGAGAAACTCTATATTTTTTGCGAATAGTAAGTAGAACTTTTATGGATATAGCATTTTGATAATAGTTTATATTTACAGTAGAAAATAATTTGTATTTCACTGTGCTTTTGTTCTATAGGACCTGAAGATGAATTATGAAAGGGTGTGACAAGTATCAGTAATGCAGGAAGACGCAGAGATAGAGCAAGAAGAGTCGTGAAAAGAGAAAGCTCCTAAATAAGGAGCAAATTATTGGCATGGGAAAAATTCCGATACAATTTCCTGGTCTAAACACTCCTGTGTTTAGAGGAAAAGAATTAATTCAACAGCAAAAACTGCTTGTAAATCTTGAAAGAAAGCAAAAACTTATGGAATTACCACAAAGTCAGACCAGACCAATGCAAATAAAATTATCGCCATTGGAATGTGGTTGGAGGAGTGTTACAATGGATGGCAGAAGCATTGAATCAGATCTTATTGGAAAAGGTTAATATTTATGCTATTATTGGATTATAATGGTTAAATCACACACATACAAAAATCATGTGATACGATGTCTATTTTCAATTTTTTTTTGATGTTTCAGTTCTAAATATTAGAATCTTATATAATTAATATCTTTGTTTTCTGTAGCTACATTTGAAAGTTTTGAAACCTGGATTGGAAAACAAAATGATAAGTTGTATGACCGGTAATTTAGCACGTAAGACTAGAATCAGTTCATTTATAGTAACTGGAAATGGAAATGGATTAGCTGGATTTGCGTTATCAAAAGCCAAAGTATCCCTAAAGACGATTAAAAATAGGGCTGGTCAAAGACTAATGTATATTCCTACATATAAGGAATACACTAGTAAGAAAATAATTGTCAATACTATATAATATAAAATTTATTTCTTCTCTTTTAATATCACTTTGTATTTTTCAGTGTTACATGATTTCTTTACACAGTTTGAGAATATAAAAATATTTGTAAAGAAAATTCATGAAGGATAATGGGCTTGTTTGTCATCATGCGTGTTGCGAGATAATTGGCATAAAGGATATGTATGCCAAAGTACAAGAAGGAATGTAAAAGCATTCTTTGGTTGGTTTATTGCAACAGGTGTGAATATAAAGTATTTAAAGGCATATTATACTTTTTATTTAATTTATATTAGAAAGAAACATTTTTTATTTATAAAAATATATATACATATATAAAAATATATATACATATATATATATATATATATATATATATATATGTTAGACACAAAGCTAAAAAAAAACGTGGATTGTGTCGATTAATTAATTAATTGTTTTATTTAATTATCAATTTATATATGTATATTATTAACAATAATTTTTTGTTTACTTAAACTGTATAAGGTTGTACATAAGAAACAATCTTTTTTATTTAGTATTTCAAGCATATTTTCATAGAACTTTAATTTAATTATTATATTATTAAAAATATTGAACAAAATAAAGAATTAAAGCTGGCTTTCTCTGCAGTCTCATAGCAGATTATATCAGAAATCATACTTTAATTATTGCAATATATCATGAAACAAATCAATCTCAAAATAATGGAAATATTTGCAGAAATATCAAATATGTAATGTAAATATTTTAATTTTTTTGTATGCGATCTATTTTTTATTCTATCGATGTTTTCATAGTGATGCACCTTGAGCACTTTGCTTCATATGTTTGCAATAAAAATATATTAAAGCAAATTATTTTGCAAATTTATTATTCTAATTTTTATTTAGAAAGACTAAGATTAAAAAAGACGTATGCATTTTTTTCAGATAATTCTATTGGAAAAAACGCATCAGACAAAACTTTCCTGTACATTTTAAATGTGCCAAAAGATTTGCTCTTTATTCCACTTACTGCAATAATGTACACTAAAAATGACAGATCTATATTAAAAATGATAGATCTGTGTTTAGTAGTTGGAAAGAAAGAGAGGAGAAATGAAAAGTGCATCTAGAGAATTTAAAAGAATAAAAATCTAAAAATAATAATACATAAAAATTAATATTATGTATTTTTTTCATGAGGAATGTGGGGCGCATATTTATGCATTTATTTATTTAGATGAGATTTACTTTAGAGCAGATTCAGTATTCAACTTTAATTTTATTTTCTCTTTCTTATGATATATAAGTATAACATAATTACCTGCAAATGCTATCATTTTTGTGTGCTTACAGTGATACAGAAGCAACATTACAAGTACTATATTTACAGATAACATCTGTATAATAAAAAAAGCACCAAAAATCTAACAATGAAAAAAGGATAAATATTGTACATCAGCATAAGTATCAACCAATTATTCCACCGCTCTGTTTCATTAGAGTTGCAATTTTCTTTTATATCATAAATATTATAAATAAGATAAAGATTTCTATACGTTTCAAATAAATTTATATATTTTATGTATGTAATACTGCGCACACATATTAAAAGGTGATAATATCGCAGTTATAATAAGATACAATCCTGGCAATGTAGTGATTTTTGGATCCTACTTAAAATAATTTAATTTGATTTATTTTTGAGAAATGCGCACAATACTTGAGAACAAATTATTTTTGTGCTAAGTATTACCTGTGTAAAATTCCACACACAGTATCATATTGTCTGCGATATATGAAAAGCTTCATCGATGAAATATGATTGAGAATATGATGATAAGAAAAGTAATATAGTACTTGTAATGAATAACCTTAATGTGGAATACATAAATATTTTATATTTTAATTTCATATAATCAAGATGAGATAAGACACTCATGATTACTTTAAAAATGTGTCCACAAATATCATGTAACTTCAACAGCTGCACATTCGTCAAATTAATCCTATTACGTTAAATGAATCACAGCAGCTTGTTTTAATTTAATCTAACCTAACCAATTATATTATATGCTTCTCATTAAAATGTGTAAAACTGTACGTCGCACATTTAATACGATTAATATACTACGTAATAAAATGTAATACACTAATGAAATAATTAAATATTATTTTTGAAAGCATGATAAAATCCAGGCAGCATACGCTTGTGTTTACATTCGACATCCAAAGCACTGAGAGGTTAGGTTAGATCGAAAAAATTTATCGTTTAACAGTTGGCAGCCCTACGAGATAGGCTGTGCAGCACTGCGCGTATATAAAATAAATTTGAAATCGCTTCTAGCTAACCATCTTCACGCGATCGACTTTATTTGAATTGCACCGAATCGAATTATGATGCCGATTTGTCCGAATGTAATTCGGGACATCGCGATGCTGTATAAGCGTCGAATGAGCACAAATTATCACGCAAATATGATAAATCAAATCTACTCACCGGCTGTTCCACAGGCCGCTCCTCCTCGGGACAGTTCGCTCGCCTCGGGACGTCCTATTCCGATCTTGATGCACACAAATCCACACGATATCATCAACGCGAACGCGCGACACTTTATTCGGCACTCCCGATATTCGCTCGCATCCGATAATTATCATCAAGGACGCGAATAACGCGACGCAACTTCGCTCCATCTTCGCAATGACGCCATCACTGAATATCGTCAAAAATCGCTGTCGCGCGTTTCCATCGACACACTATAAAAGTCGCGCGATCATCCTTCGACACTCTCGACGCTCGTTCACTCGCGATATTCGTTTAAAAACGGTTAAAAGATGCGAAAAGTGCGGACGTACGACGATCCGTGTAACTGCGTATGACTCCGATTCACGCGCCAACATGGCGGCCGAATGACGCGTTTGACGTAGCAGTGACGCAGCAGTCACGCGCCAACATGGCGGCCGTATGACGCGTTTGACGTAGCAGTGACGCAGCAATCACGCGCCAACATGGCGGCCGAACCAGTGCGCACTGGTCAACGCTACGTCAAACGCGTCATACGGCCGCCATGTTGGCGCGTGAATCGGAGTCATACGCAGTTACACGGATCGTCGTACGTCCGCATTTTTCGCATCTTTTAACCGGTTTTAAACGAATATCGCGAGTGAACGAGCGTCGAGAGTGTCGAAGGATGATCGCGCGACTTTTATAGTGTGTCGATGGAAACGCGCGACAGCGATTTTTGACGATATTCAGTGATGGCGTCATTGCGAAGATGGAGCGAAGTTGCGTCGCGTTATTCGCGTCCTTGATGATAATTATCGGATGCGAGCGAATATCGGGAGTGCCGAATAAAGTGTCGCGCGTTCGCGTTGATGATATCGTGTGGATTTGTGTGCATCAAGATCGGAATAGGACGTCCCGAGGCGAGCGAACTGTCCCGAGGAGGAGCGGCCTGTGGAACAGCCGGTGAGTAGATTTGATTTATCATATTTGCGTGATAATTTGTGCTCATTCGACGCTTATACAGCATCGCGATGTCCCGAATTACATTCGGACAAATCGGCATCATAATTCGATTCGGTGCAATTCAAATAAAGTCGATCGCGTGAAGATGGTTAGCTAGAAGCGATTTCAAATTTATTTTATATACGCGCAGTGCTGCACAGCCTATCTCGTAGGGCTGCCAACTGTTAAACGATAAATTTTTTCGATCTAACCTAACCTCTCAGTGCTTTGGATGTCGAATGTAAACACAAGCGTATGCTGCCTGGATTTTATCATGCTTTCAAAAATAATATTTAATTATTTCATTAGTGTATTACATTTTATTACGTAGTATATTAATCGTATTAAATGTGCGACGTACAGTTTTACACATTTTAATGAGAAGCATATAATATAATTGGTTAGGTTAGATTAAATTAAAACAAGCTGCTGTGATTCATTTAACGTAATAGGATTAATTTGACGAATGTGCAGCTGTTGAAGTTACATGATATTTGTGGACACATTTTTAAAGTAATCATGAGTGTCTTATCTCATCTTGATTATGAAATTAAAATATAAAATATTTATGTATTCCACATTAAGGTTATTCATTACAAGTACTATATTACTTTTCTTATCATCATATTCTCAATCATATTTCATCGATGAAGCTTTTCATATATCGCAGATAATATGATACTGTGTGTGGAATTTTACACAAGTAATATGTGGCACAAAAATAATTTGTTCTCAAGTATTGTGCGCATTTCTCAAAAATAAATCAAATTAAATTATTTTAAGAAGGATCCAAAAATCACTGCATTGTCAGGATTGTATCTTATTATAACTGCGATATTATCACCTTTTAATATGTGTGCGCAGTATTACATACATAAAATATATAAATTTATTTGAAACATATAGAAATCTTTATCTTATTTATAATATTTATGATATAAAAGAAAATTGCAACTCTAATGAAACAGAGCGGTGGAATAATTGGTTGATACTTATGCTGATGTACAATATTTATCCTTTTTTCATTGTTAGATTTTTGGTGCTTTTTTTATTATACAGATGTTATCTGTAAATATAGTACTTGTAATGTTGCTTCTGTATCACTGTAAGCACACAAAAATGATAGCATTTGCAGGTAATTATGTTATACTTATATATCATAAGAAAGAGAAAATAAAATTAAAGTTGAATACTGAATCTGCTCTAAAGTAAATCTCATCTAAATAAATAAATGCATAAATATGCGCCCCACATTCCTCATGAAAAAAATACATAATATTAATTTTTATGTATTATTATTTTTAGATTTTTATTCTTTTAAATTCTCTAGATGCACTTTTCATTTTTCCTCTCTTTCTTTCCAACTACTAAATATAGATCTATCATTTTTAATATAGATCTGTCATTTTTAGTGTACATTATTGCAGTAAGTGGAATAAAGAGCAAATCTTTTGGCACATTTAAAATGTACAGGAAAGTTTTATCTGATGCATTTTTTTCAATAGAAATATCTGAAAAAAAAGGCATATGTCTTTTTTCTAATCTTAATCTTTCTAAATAAAAATTAGAATAATAAATTTGCAAAATAATTTGCTTTAATATATTTTTATTGCAAACATATGAAGCAAAATGCTCAAAGTGCATCACTATGAAAACATCGATAGAATAAAAAATAGATCGCATACAAAAAAATTAAAATATTTACATTACATATTTGATATTTCTGCAAATATTTCCATTATTTTGAGATTGATTTGTTTCATGATATATTGCAATAATTAAAGTATGATTTCTGATATAATCTGCTATGAGACTGCAGAGAAAGCCAGCTTTAATTCTTTATTTTGTTCAATATTTTTAATAATATAATAATTAAATTAAAGTTCTATGAAAATATGCTTGAAATACTAAATAAAAAAGATTGTTTCTTATGTACAACCTTATACAGTTTAAGTAAACAAAAAATTATTGTTAATAATATACATATATAAATTGATAATTAAATAAAACAATTAATTAATTAATCGACACAATCCACGTTTTTTTTTAGCTTTGTGTCTAACATATATATATATATATATATATATATATATATATGTATATATATTTTTATATATGTATATATATTTTTATAAATAAAAAATGTTTCTTTCTAATATAAATTAAATAAAAAGTATAATATGCCTTTAAATACTTTATATTCACACCTGTTGCAATAAACCAACCAAAGAATGCTTTTACATTCCTTCTTGTACTTTGGCATACATATCCTTTATGCCAATTATCTCGCAACACGCATGATGACAAACAAGCCCATTATCCTTCATGAATTTTCTTTACAAATATTTTTATATTCTCAAACTGTGTAAAGAAATCATGTAACACTGAAAAATACAAAGTGATATTAAAAGAGAAGAAATAAATTTTATATTATATAGTATTGACAATTATTTTCTTATTAGTGTATTCCTTATATGTAGGAATATACATTAGTCTTTGACCAGCCCTATTTTTAATCGTCTTTAGGGATACTTTGGCTTTTGATAACGCAAATCCAGCTAATCCATTTCCATTTCCAGTTACTATAAATGAACTGATTCTAGTCTTACGTGCTAAATTACCGGTCATACAACTTATCTTTTTGTTTTCCAATCCAGGTTTCAAAACTTTCAAATGTATCTACAGAAAACAAAGATATTAATTATATAAGATTCTAATATTTAGAACTGAAACATCAAAAAAAAATTGAAAATAGACATCGTATCACATGATTTTTGTATGTGTATGATTTAACCATTATAATCCAATAATAGCATAAATATTAACCTTTTCCAATAAGATTTGATTCAATGCTTCTGCCATCCATTGTAACACTCCTCCAACCACATTCCAATGGCGATAATTTTATTTGCATTGGTCTGGTCTGACTTTGTGGTAATTCCATAAGTTTTTGCTTTCTTTCAAGATTTACAAGCAGTTTTTGCTGTTGAATTAATTCTTTTCCTCTAAACACAGGAGTGTTTAGACCAGGAAATTGTATCGGAATTTTTCCCATGCCAATAATTTGCTCCTTATTTAGGAGCTTTCTCTTTTCACTACTCTTCTTGCTCTATCTCTGCGTCTTCCTGCATTACTGATACTTGTCACACCCTTTCATAATTCATCTTCAGGTCCTATAGAACAAAAGCACAGTGAAATACAAATTATTTTCTACTGTAAATATAAACTATTATCAAAATGCTATATCCATAAAAGTTCTACTTACTATTCGCAAAAAATATAGAGTTTCTCACATTATTTAATAAAGTGACTATTTTTAATAAATGTGAATGACTGACAAGCAATAAATTAAACAATATTAAACAATAATATAAAAAAATGAAAAAAATTTCATAATTTTATTGGAGTTAAATTGATAAATTAATTTTAAATACACATTATATGTTAATTACATATAATGATTTCGAGACAATGATATATTTCATTTGCGTTACCGTTGTTTATAGATTGAACATTTTTATCAAATTATTTACAACTCTAAATATGTAGCATACGACAAGCCATTTTTAAAATCTATAAAACAAACAATAAAGTTGTTCATAGTTTTCACTCTTTTTTGGTATAGTTTGCTTTTAGGCGATCTTAAAGTCACTAGATTAACAAAGTATCCGGCTTTAGGTTATCCCTGAAAGGACGATGCGTTCTCTATAAACATAAAAATATGAACTTAAGGTGCAATTTCATTGACGCTAAAAAGTAGCGTCAATGAAAAGGCCGCTTTACACACTGAAAAAGTTGAAACTGTTTGAACTTTATTTTGGGTGCTTTCCAATTGAGATATCCCTAGACACTTTTATGCACACGGCGACACAAGTCGCGTTCCAATTGCCGTAACTGCCGACACAACTTTACACATCCGTACTCAGCTCGAGGGCTACTAGTCAACTTGTGTAACCTTCTGTTTTCTAGGGACAAATGAAATATGCGGTTACAGACTGACGGCGATTATGTTGGCAATTTTCTTTTCGTTTTATCCTTTTTAATTAAAAGACAACCATTAAAGTACACCATACAAATACAAAAATGGACAATAAAAATATTAAAAGTATCATTGAAGTAAGTAATTCAAATTAATGAGTTTTTGTACAATTAATTTTTTTATTATATTTAATAAATAAAATAAAATTGTCTCTTTTGCATATTTGCAGGTTAGATATATTACTGATTAAATTTTCATTCATATTTATATATTAATATAATATGCATTTATATATTTTATTTATATATTATTTATATATTATATAATATTATGCATATATATACATCTATGTATGTTAATAACCTATCCTAACCCTCCACTCGAAAGTCGCACATTAACTTTGTTCCAATTGAGTCGTGCACATCGCTACACTTTGTGCCTTCCTGTGTATGTTTGTGTTAAGATGTGTTAAACAATTGGAAAGCACCCTTTATTGACGCCAAATCTAGAGAAAGTCTAGTGATTTTAATTTGAAAGTCTAGTGAATGATTTGCCGCTGGTTTCTAGCGTCAATGAAATTGCACCTTAAAGGTGGAATTTCATTGACGCTACTTTTTAGCATCAATGAAATTGCACCTTAAGGCCTGTTCCAACAGTGGTCAGGTAGCTTAACTAGTAGTTAAGTAGTGATGCCAATCACTGAAACGAAATTCGGTAAGCTAGGTTAGATTTTGACAAGTTGCACCTCAAAAAGTTCATAAATGGCGCCAAATAAAGGAATTGTAAGTGAAGAGTGATTTTGGCAATAAAGAACAAGTGGATGAACTTTTTATCTTGTGATGTATAATGTATATTTGATTCCCTAATAATTAAACGTAAAGAATTCTCTAATAATATAACGTAAGAATTTCAATTACATCTACGAAAATTCAGTGTTTGTGTGAAATATGACGTCTCCCAGAAATTTGAGAAGATCTACGCGAATAAAAGCTATCGTGAAATACACGGAAGATAGCTTCGAAGAAAACCACGACAATTCTCGTAAGATTATATTAATATAATTTACTATGTGTATTTCTCATAATATCTTTATACAGTTCGACATAGATACATTCTACAATTTATGTGTTTAATATTTTTTAATATTATATATTTTATACCATTTTTCAAATTAGTATATATGAACATGTCACAGATAGTGTTTATTTTATAGCACCGATTGATACAGTGGAGACTGAAGTAGAAAAGCAGCTTGAAGATATCAAAGAAAATGTACAAAAACCACTTGGTAATTGATACAGACTTTATAAATTTTTGTTATATTTTATATGATAATTTATTTATATATATTTTTATATCATTATCATTTTTATTTTATAGTACTTCTATCTTTTAATATATTCTTCTTTCTTTTTCTTTCTTAGAATTATTTTCTGAAAAGGATATAAGTGGACGAAAATTATATACATTTCAAACACCAACTAAAAAGAATAGTATGATGCTTAAAGCTAATCAATGTCGTACATCTAAGACTCCAAAAAATACTAAAACACTCCCAACTTTAAAAATTGTTCTTGAAAAGATTAGTGTAGCAAGTTTAAAAAATAAAAATTTGGAATCTGGCACTGAGAATATTAAGATGAAAAGTAAGTAACATTTTTTTGAATAACTCCTAGTATAAGTTATGAAAAGATGTACATTTTTTGATTTTTTCTTACATTTAGTAATCTCTAGAAAGCGACGTTCGTCTAGTGTAAGTTCAACTAGTGAAAGTGTATCAGAGGATAGCGAATATATACCCACAGATTTAGAAATTAGTTCCGAATCTGATGAGAAGTCTAATGAAAGCAAAGATAATGAAAATTCTGATGAAAGTGAAGAAGAAAATAATATTAGAAGAAGAGGCAAACAAAGTATACTACAGAAATCTTTACCAAAACGTGAAGTACAAAGTACACCTAGAAGGACAAAAAGAGAATGTAAATCTATTGTCTACAAAGAATATGTAAGTTGAATTTGATTAAACTATATATATATCAATTAACATATATATCATAAACACATATTTATTAAAATTTTTAGCTTTTTTTAATGAGTATTGTGCATGTATGTAGTTTGTATGAGTTGTGTGTGTTTATATAGCATGGTATATATAATATTTTTGATATTACGCACATATACACACATAATATATATAATTGCATATATCTTTAACTTTTAAAGCATATAAAGACTGATGAATATTTTGAATCACAATCACAAAAAACAATTACATCTGATCATACATTAGACAGGCTTCGAAATGTTCGCCTTACTGAAGAAAAATTGGATGAATTATTACAAACCCAAAGTTATATTTCTACAATACACAAGAAACGTATTTATTCATTAACAGAACATTATAAGTCATTTTTTTCTATGTGGCAATTTATAATGGAGTAGGTATTATAAAAGTATGGTTTTTTAAATTTGAAATTTAATTATAAATTTCAAAATTTAATTGTTAAAATTAAATTGTAGAGAAGGCTACAGTCTATTAATTCATGGTCTAGGATCAAAAAGAAATTTAATTAATGATTTTCATAATGAAATTATAGTCGATCATCCAACATTGATTATAAATGGATTTTTTCCCAGTTTGTCGATAAAGGATGTAAGTAAAATATACATAAGTAATATTTTTGTATTATTAATTAAAGCAACATCTTAAAGATCTAAATTTTAAATTCTATTTCAGATACTCGATAACATAATAGTGAATTTACTAGGTTTAGATTGTCCAACAAATTCTAGTGACTGTCTAAAACTTATTGAAAAGATTTTAAAAAGTAATCCAGATGATCGACTCTATTTAATAATTCATAATATAGATGGAATAATGCTACGTTCGAGTAAAGCTCAAAACATTCTTGCTGGTCTAGCAACCATTTCCAATGTTCGAATAATAGCGTCTGTCGATCATATCAATGCACCGTTACGTAAGTTACATTTACTTTTATACTAAATTCAAGTTGGATTCACCATTGGTTGTTTTTATAAATTTGTTATTTCAGTTTGGGATCATATTAAACGAGCAAAATTTAATTTCTATTGGTGGGATGCGACGACATTTTTGCCATATCAAGCTGAAACTGCATTTGAAAGTTCGCTATTAGTTCAACAAAGCGGTGGACTCGCTTTATCTTCCCTTCAAAATGTCTTCCTCTCCCTTACCTCGAACGCTCGAGCGATTTATTTAATTCTCGTTAAATATCAATTGAACAATAGTAGCAGTAATTTCACAGGTAATTAGCCACATATATATTTTATCAATCGTGTATCATAATAATTAGCCTGACAAATATCTAATAATGTGTTTTAATTAGGAATGCTGTTCAAGGATCTATATCGAGCAGCGCGCGAACAGTTTCTGGTCAGTTCTGATTTAGCATTAAGAGCACAGTTAACTGAGTTTGTAGATCATAAATTAGTACGAACTAAACGTGCATTTGATGGCGCTGAATATCTTATTGTACCTCTAGATAAGGGTCTCCTTAAACAATTTGTGGAGCAACACGGATCATAATTTATTTGATGAATTTATAAACTTGTGAAATTCAGATTTAAATATATTTTAATGTGATTTTTTTTTATTTGTGAAATAACTGATAAGTTTAATTGTTTCGTCAAACTATTAATTTATACATTACTAAATAATTTTAACAATATACATGCCGTAGATATTTATTTTTATTAGTTTGGCATATTCTTGTTTTATAGTATTATTTTGGTCATGTGTCCTAATTAAAAGTATCTATCCTGCAATTGTAATAATTCATTCGTATTAGTTGTGTTAAATGTTATTAGATTTATTTTCTTTCTCGCCGTTTGCTTGTATCAATTTCCATTCTTTTCTCTTCCTCTTCGAATCAATTGTACGTTTATTTTATATCAAGTGCAGAAAGTGTACGTTTGGTGCAGATAGAAAAAGAACGATTCTATTGAGAACGCGGCGTTCGGCGTTCGTTGTGAAACGCCGTAAAGTTAACCGAGTCAAAGGCGCCAATCGTCGCCTTCCCGCGACATTGAGATCTCTTTTTATCTTTACGTAAAAAGATCAGTGAGGAGTCTGCATACACAATGATGCGGTCGCTCATAGTGATTAATCGTAGATCGTTTCCGTACGTCGCCTTTAAGACAGATTTTATCGGAAAATGTCAGAACGAAACCAAAAGCGAGTGCGAGTGACAGTAGGTACATTAGGTTAGATTAGGTTATCATTTGTCTCACGATGTGAAATAGTACGAAGCTACATCGATTGCGACTTCGATAATCGCAATCAGTTCGAAAATCGCCGATCGGCGCCAACGGTCGATTCATCGTTACGTTTCTTTTTTTCTCGAACGAGAAGAGAAATTTTGGCTCGTCTGGAAGATGCGCGTGCAGTTGTCGCGTCGTAAAATTCATACGTGATATTCGCGGAGGAACATTTATTTCGACAAGTTGTCTAGGGTCTAGGCGCTGTCGGGGCCACGTCAATTGACAATATTGTAAATAACGCGCAGGATCTCCCTCGTCTGACCGTTCTGACCTTACTCCGATAAGTCGCACGTGCGCGACGCGCGCGCGCGCAACCTTGACTTTCGAGTTTGCGGCGAGTTGTGGCGAAAGAGTGAGAGAAATCGCCGAGTCAATCGTGGTGAAGAAGCGGCGTACGTTTTTTCCGTGAAAATTGTGATGATACCATGTAAAATATCCGCAAAGTGTGCTCGATGTTCTACATAAAGACGTTTCTATAAAAACATTCTGTGTTTCTCCTCTCATCCCGTTGCCGAATCATAGAATCTCTGTGGGTGTCTCGCGTCATCATGCGGAATCTCTGGAATTTATGAACAAAAAAGGTAGCGATCTTTTACATTTATCTTGTTTCGTTGCTGCGAAAACATTGTGAAGTGAAAAAAATTGATTGATTTGATAAAAAAAGTATCGCGCGAGATTATCAGTGGAGATCCAGAGAGAGTGGTTATGTTAGTCCTTCCCTGTCATCTTTCTGTACATTTATATCAATTTCAAATATAAATTTAAATTTTGATTTTAAAAGAAACTCTTATAATTTGTACTCTTATAATTTAAACGATATAAAATGATATAAACAGATATATTCGTTTTGCAGGTCATGATTGGACAGGTGCAGCTGCATTAACTTGTTATCATCTGCATCTGCATGTGCATGTGAGTTATTTAAATTATTATTACATTTACTCTTTGAAAGAAAGGAAATATACAAATAAATTATTGTAGAATATAAATTATTCAATTGCTGCTGAGGTGGAGCAGTAAGCATAACTCTAAATGTTTTTTGTTGTCTGTATTGTTAATTCAAACTTTTTTCTGTCGAATCCTACGTATTTATTATTGTTATTTTATTATTATTTTATTTATTTTACATATTTACTTCCAATTTTTTATTTAAGATATTATTGTTACACACTGTATTTGAAGAAACACTGCGTACAGCTATGTGTAATTAGTAACATGGAGTACATTTTTATTCTAATAATATTTTATATTAATATTTTAATATTTTAATTTTTTCAAGAGTGTAATTTTTTAAATAGTTTTTTTGTTTATCTAATGATTTTTAATGTGTGACACGAAGCAAGGGAGTTTCAAAATTATTTCCAAAGTATTTTTGATTGACATTTTGTATACAAAATAATATATTTCGCATGGAAGTTTTACATTGTAAAAAGAACACGAAATAATATTATAGACGTGTTCTACTCAAACTTATTGCAAAATTTATTTATGTCTCACAATATGATGTGATTGTTTTTACCATTATTACTATTATTGCTGTAGTATTTGATAGAAAAACATTGAACATTTATACTTTTACAGAAATACTTTGACAGAGAAGTAGTAAAATGATTTTTCTCTACAACTAAGAATAAATTTTTTTAAAGAATGGTTTTATATAAAATTATATGTACGAAATATATTATATTTTGTTATATAATATTTCACAACACGTATTAATCTGTGGTATCTTATCTGCTGTACAAATTTACACATTGTTGGAAAATTAATTTCTAACGTATGCCAATAGATGGCAGAACATTGAATATTTTAGCACATAATTGTGACAAAATTTTCTCGATATAATATATTGTGACCTTTACACATTCTCATTTTATTTATTACAAATATTTTCTCTTTGACTTTTGCCTTTTCTTGCTTACAATTATTCATAAATATTGAAAAAACATTTTTTCATAAAATAATATCATATTTCAATCTTGAATAATGACTATTGATATAAAAACTCTTAAAAAGGAAAATAACCAGTTTTTACTTTGGACATTAATCTCATAGTACTATGGTAATAGTACGATAGAGCAATTTCGTCAATTTTTAACCAGAATTATATCCTATTATCTCTCTTTTTCTCCCTCTTTCCCTTTTTTCCTCTCTCCCTCCCCCTCTTCTCTCTCTCTCTCTCTCTCTCTCTCTCTCTCTCTCTCTCGTTGAGTGAAAGTTGGCAAATTGTCCTGAATGTGTCTGGCGTACAAATCTCAGTGTGGGCGATGTCAAATTTATGATCGTTAATATCGTAGACGAGATTTCTCTCAAATTGTATTAAAATTTCTCTATGACGCGGAAATAATTTTCGCATACATATTCGTCAATTCATTCGATAAATAGATTCAAATCGAAGTAGACGTTGAAAAATTTTTATTCTGAATTGTCCATTTAAATTTTTTTTTAAATATTATCAGAGATCATAAAGAAAAATTTCTTATAAGATTCGATAGATTACAAAAAAAATGTAATGTTAAAAATATTCATGCAAAAATTAAAAGATTATTTACATTTATACGATATATAATTTGATCATTATTATATATATTTATTACATTTGTGATTTTTAAAGAAAAAGACTTTCTCAAAGTCGATGATATCAAGCTTGTATTGTTAATAATAATTTCGGATTCGTGCGAAAATGTTTACTTTCATGTATCGATCGCGTATCTTTCTTCATCTAATTCTGTTAACGTCGCGCAACTGTTTCACCGATTTCACTTTTACCAAGACAAACTAATTTCTCCGAAAGACGATTCTCCTCGAGAAAACCATCGCTCGATATCTTCCTTCGAGGAGATTTGAGGGAGAGATTTGCTTTCGCTTCGGAACAACTCGAATTTCGACGTCACTCGTTCGCGTCTGGTTATGAAACGTCCTGTACGAGACGATACTTTCACTATCGCGGCCAAGTTTCATAATTATTATTATCGAGGCCATACGTAGGTCGAAGAGGAGACTGTCGGGACACGGAGAAAAGGGTTTGGCTCCTCTTTTATCATATATACACAAACGTCTCACACACACAATATCGTTTAATTAGCGATAAATCCCAACCTTATTTTATTCAAGATGTCTCAATCGCGCTAAATAATACATTCTCTGGTGAATTTCGAATTAACTGTTAATGAAAATAATTGAAAAATGGAAAATTTAATGTAAAATCTACTTACGAAACTTGTTAAATTTACTTTCGAAAAGTAATTTCCACATAGAGATTTGAGGATTGAGAAAAGCTAAATGATAAAAAAGCATTTATCTAAAAAATGCTTTCGCAATTATTTTAAAATAAATGTTACTTTTAATAGAAATTTCATTGAAATCTTAATTACCAAGAAAAAGAGAGATTATTAATATTGATAGTGTTTTACAAATTTCGACACATGTGATGCTCCATCAAATATTAATCGATCGATTTGAAATTCGTTAAAATATTTGTCATTTGAAAAAAATGAAATTAATACGAGATACCTCGTATACACGTACACACATACACACATGTATGGAACTTTTGTCCTAGCTACTTTGTGGCTTTGTTACGTGTCGCATTGCGTGACCGAGAAATCATTTTTCCAGCATGATCGCCGCGCTGATCACCGGTTAGCAATTCCCTCGTCAAGGCTCATCGTCGTTTTTCTCTCTCCCTCTCTCCCTCTCTCTCTCTTCCTCTTTGATCGCTACACATGGTGCACGTGCGAAGTAACGTTCGTGTAACTAGTTTTGCTTGTATCTAATATCCGCCGTGTGGCGTCATTGGTGGCTCTATTAACGAGCGAGGAGCTAGATATCGACGTGTTTGCGCTTTATCCGAATCTCTCCTTCATATAAAGTTCTCAAATAGTTTTAGCTATGACTTCTCATGGTAAACCACATAAATATTTCAATCGTTCATTGATCTAGAAAGATTTAGATGTTAAATAAACCAAAGTAAATAAAAAATATAAGAAAAAAATATATAAGCGAGAGTTGTGTAATTAGAAAATTGGATAACTAGACTTTTTCTTGATGTATAGATACTTGGCGAATGGATAACTGAAAATTATATCAGTATTTATTAGTATTATCACATAATGTCTAATAATAAGATAAAAAAGACTAGAAGGTATCCATAAAGATGTGCTTTCTTGTAAACAAGAATTTCTCAAATTTCATTATCGTTTGAGCGTAACTCTCTTAAATCGTTTGTTAAATAAAAATAACTATTATTAATTGAGATTAAAAGGTTCATTTTATATTATTTACAATTTGTAACGTCATATTTAAAATAAAATTCCTCTTTCAATTTTATCTATCGTGTGATATATATACAGAAAGCACATTTAAAGAATCATTTCAAGAATAAACATATTTTTTTTTAAATATGGAGCACGTCATAAAATTATTAACTCTGTCTTGAATATTCATCACAAACCGTATGGATCAATCTCTACAAAGGGCGCTTTAGAAGAATAAATTATTAATTGATTATGTTATATTTCAGATTATTCTTTTGACAATCTGTTAGATGGAAAAATGCAATTAGTGTTTGACTATCAACAATGGTATATGATTTTAACAATCACGGCAACGGTAATATACGGTAATATACGAGGCTCGCACGATAACGATTCGATTCCGCATGTAATACGACAAATATCGGCGCTCGATTAATCAGTCGCGAATGAAACGAGCTCTCTCGTTCGAGGGCCATGAGGGTAGCGGTCGGGGAGAGTAGTAATCGTCCCAGACGAAGGAAGGAGCCCGTCCGAGGTCGAGTTGGGGTTGCTGTACGTGCACGAGCATTGCGCAAGAGCATTCACCCCGCTCAATACTCAGCGACGGCACACAGAGATACAGGAACTCTGAAAATGTACAGGGTACACGCGAGAGAGAGAGAGAGAGAGAGAGAGAGAGAGAGAGAGAGAGAGAGAGAGAGAGAGAGAGAGGGGGAAGCGGGACGGAGCGAGAACGGAGCAGGAAGAGGAAACCGGTTCTAGCGAACCACCCCGAAATGGGTTACTTCGCGTTTGTGTGTAAATTTGATTATGTGTGTGCGTGTGTATCTACTTTATATACGCGACCAACCCCGCCTTTGACAGTGTACCAGCAAACCACTCGCATTTCCTATTCCGCGCGACGTATGATGCGCGCATATATCGGCTGTTTTGTCCGGATGTTTGAAAGATAGAGAATGATATACAACACAGTCTTATCATTTTGAAAATTGTTTGGAGAAATTTAGAGAAATTTCTCTTTTTTATTGTTGGCAAAACTTAATAACGTTTAATTTAGAAATTGTCCAATTTATAAAAATTTATTTGTGACTTGATGTCTAGAAATTCGAAACTCTATAGCCGGAATAAAAAAAGGAAATGGAAAGCATGAATCTTTGCACAATTTCTAAATAAACTTTATTTTGAAAGAAAATTTCTATTTAAAAATAGGAGAATAAAAGTTTCAATCCTATCAAAGAGAAAATCTAGTTTAGAAAAAGCAGAGGTTTTCTCAAGGAAAAGCTCTATATAAAAGATGCTTTGTGAAAGCACATTATATATTCGAAATTTGCGCAACTCGCACAGAAATTGCAAAGGGCAGACTTTTGTGGTACGCAAATGTTTACAGATGTAATATAATTTTTATTACGACATATGTGTGCAATTTAGTAATAATAAATATAAATTATATATTAATGGATTTGATATTTGATAGTTACGATATCGAATGGAGGCGCAAATTTATGCCTAAATAACTTGGAGATTATTAATTTGCAAGATTACTTAACAATATCGATGTCATGTTAATTAATTAACTCGTCGTATTATAAAAAGCGAGTTTTATCGCTACGTAATAGTATCGGACGTAATGCTAAATTTTGTCGGGCATAATTTTTT